ATTTTTGGAAACTGCTTTGAAAATAGACACTATATTAAATTACTTTCTATATACTGTGCCTATTCACAGATACTATTGTTTGGCCCAATCCATCCAACTCCCAGTGCACCTCTAATACAATACACTCCAAGGCACAAGCAGTTGGAGAAGCTCTAAAGAATGTTTTTTTATTCATCCAAGGATGACCCAGATGACCTACAGCTGTAGGGCTATTTCTATCTCTTCTTAAAATAATTAAAATAACATTAAGCCAGGTATTAGTTGGCTAGACAGACCCAAATCCCACCTCCTGTGTAATCCACCTGAAAGCCAAATGCATCACGGCAAACTAAAGCTGCCTTTAATCCTTTTAAATCTCAGGACAAGAATCTTTTATCCTTTGTTGCCTCTTGCCCTATTTATTATTTCTATCGGACACCTGTTCACTCTGCCAGAACAGATGAAAAACACACAAAAACTAACATGCTAGTAATGTAAGAAACACTGATACCTTAGAGCTTGATTTACAGTGAAAGATCTCCTCTCCTGTTTTCCAATTAGTTAGTGGTGAGTTCAGATTACTTGTCACTTGCACAATACCATTAAGTTGAATAAACCCAACATAAAACTCTATCCATATCCATTAACAAGTATAAATGAGGCCCATTTGTGCATAAATTAGGCAGAGTTATTATCATAATTTGACAGGTCTGATTTTATTGAGTCTATGTTTGCAATCTGCCACAATCCTCAGGGACAGCACTGTAAGCAAGTTGTTATATCTGAACATGACACCTTTACGCTGGCAATCTGCCACACTTCTCACAGGTAAGGATTGCAAATGAGCAATTATATATTCCCCCAAGCAAACTCCATAAATATTAGAGAATAAAGGGCAGAGAGCAAAGAGCCCTTCTAGAATTACTGTTCTGCGGTGTTTGCTTTGTCAGATATTAATCACCCTCATTTTTCTTTCTCTGACACTGTAATAATATAAAAATAACTCTATTTCCCCCAAAGTCCTTCTTAGAAATCCTGCAAGATGTACAGAACCACCTAGGCCAAGCCACTAGCTTATATATCCTTCTCTACCTGCCCTAGGCTTTTCCTTTATAGACTATGATCAGCATGCCTGGCCCCAATCCAGTTGCATGGGGGAAGGAGGCACGGCCTGGCTCTTACACACCATGCAGGGCTTGGGAATCTGGCAGTGTGGGAGGGTGCGACTGGGAAGCCACCACAAGCTGAAACTTATCTCTGGCACTGGAGCAGGGGGAAAAGCGGCGGACGCAGAATGCTGCTGAAGATCAAAGGCACGGCAGTGGAGATGCTGCCACCAGAAGACAAGTGGCATCAGCACAGGAGTGGAGGGAAAAGCGGCAGCAGCAAAATGCCACTGAGGCCAAATGCGCTCCCCCATGCCAGTGTGGGCACGCTGCTTGGATGTGTGCTGACGTCAATTTACCAGCTGGCTCTCTGAGAGATGAATAAAATCCCCACTGGCCAACATCTGGGGAGGACCAGAAGTGAGGCCTCCTGAGAGCACGGAGAGGTGGGAAGTGAATGAATGCCCTGACAGGGGCAAGTGGTGGTAACCCAGAGAGTTGGGGTGCCCAGCTAAGGCTGGCTAAGAGGAGCCAGGATACGTACCTCTCACAAAGCTGTGGATCCCGAACGAAGTCGATAGAGACTGGGACAGCAGTGAGCCTGTGGAGACAGGAAAAAAGGAAGGATACTAAAAGTCGTAAGTAACTCCTGGGGAGACAGCCCTGAAAGAAGGCACCCTGGGGTACAGGCAATAACAAACCACACCGACGCGAGGCCTGAATAAGGACAGTACACCGTCTGAGCCAGGACTGAGATTAAATAGGGGCTAAGGCCCAGCCGCAGCTGACTGATTTTGAGTTAGTCTCAGCCAAGACATAACATCATCTCTGGTGGGTGTAAGGCAGGGTGTAGGGGAGGCAGAGCCCCACGACAAAGACCTATGCTAAGCTCAAAGGGGGAACGAGGAGGCAGGATTCAAGAACTTCCTCCCAGCAATAATCCTGAACAACAAAATGTGGCAGACGAGAACCCCTAGGGACCTTAGAGACTCACATTAGACAGGAAGCTGCCAACCCACAAGGAGGCAGCTGTGCCCAATCAGCCTGAAAAGGCAATGCTCAAGCAAACACCATAGGAAACTACAGAGGGGTGGCAATATTACTTGCTACTGCTCCCCTGACACCAAATTTCCCCACCCATGGGGATCCCCACAGGTCAGATGTCATGACTCTGTGGGCCACATTTGGCTCCCAGGCCAGAAGTTGAGCATCTCTGGCTTAGACAAAGGGACAGGAAAGGAAATGACCATGGAGAGGTGACACGGACAAGCAGATAGTGGCTAGCTTCCCCTTGGCTGTAACGCTTGCAGAAATCAGTCACTCACAGCAAAATCACTTTACTACTACCTAGACCTCCTCCCCTACTTCCTGTCTCCTGGCCAACTGTACCCTCCTGTTGGGCCTTGTAATAAAGTAAGGCTGGAGCCTCTGCAGCACTTAGCACAGCAGAGTCACAAGGCCCAATCAAGCCCTCTAGCTACTACTGTGAACCTGACAACACCCAGTGTTCATAACGTCAGAGGCCATCAACTGTAAACTCTGTTGGGTACAGGCCAGATATTTGCTTAGACAGCACCAATCACATTTTGGGAATTAAAGGAAACTATTCAGCAACTCTTACCACAGCCAGGTCACATAATATTACGACTATTTGTCAAGTGGAATCATCAATGTACTGACAAGGATTCTGTCCCTAGAAGTTAACAAGCACGAGATGGAAAGCCCATTAAAAGCTCATAAAATTTATCTTCATAAATCCAAGTAGGAATGTCCCTGAAGTATGTTCTCTGGCACTCCCCGTGTCCACAAAGAGTTTCCTAAACTAATTTAAAAGCTAAATCATCTTTATTAAGGGTGGACAACATGTGGAGCAGACTCCAGAATTAAAGCTAAAACCTGTTTTTTTTCCAGACTAAATGAGCTTCATGCTATATAAGTTATAAATAAGACATTATCTGCCTGAGACAATTTATAATCAAGTGTCTGGACTAAGGCAAGCTATGACACACTGGGCAATCCAGTGGAAGGTATGAAAGTCTGTCTGTCCCCACTTTCTATTATTTCCTCTTGTCTCCTTGTATAATGGCTGGAAATAGAAATTCAAAGGGGCATCACACACTGAAGAAAATCTTCTTAAATGACATTTACTACAACAACACCTACAGACCTCAATCAAGGCCCATTTGTCCGCACACCAGACAAATGTGAAATACAGACAGTCCCAGCTCTAAGGATCTTCAAGGAATGAACGTTTGTACGAACTTACAGGAGTTAGTCACCTCTGAAGATCTTGGTTCCGACAAAATACAGCACATGGACAGACCGAGCCAAACGTGGAGAGAAACAGGGGTGAGAGTGGCACTCTGAGATTGTTCAGAGAGTGGTGTTCAGCACAAACGTCTACTTGGATAGCTCTGCAGGCTGAAATGATGGAGGATCAGCATAGTTAAATCTGGAGGTACCTACATAATAGATGAGGTGAGGGATGGATTCAAAGCAAGGCCATGAGGCCCGCAAAGTAAAAGGGCCAAGGGGGAAACAGAATAAGAAAAAAAAAAAAAAAAACACCCTTTATGGGAGAAGGCTGAAAGGTATTGCCATCAATGATTGATTAAAAAAAAATCCACAAAAATCCTTGCCACTAATGTGGCTGGCTGTTCCCTAACTCTTCTGGTTGCACACCCCAGCAAAATGACCCAAATCAATTCCTTCCTTCCAGCAGTATCCATGCCCCACAAATTCTTTTACAGCTCAGCAGCACGGGCTACCTCTCTTCTCCAGAGGTAATCTTGATGCTCAGCAGGACCTTAGACACAGCTCTATTTGGCTCCCAGCATCCCCTTCCACCCCTCCCAATGGCACCAGACAACCGCATTAAGTTACAGTAGCAGACTGGGGGCACTTCAGGGGTTGCACTTCCTCCCCATGGCTGTTGTGTGATCTGACAGACTTACATCTGACTCCATTCCAGATACCAACAAACCAGCGAAGCTGAACCAGGTTTTGACTGAATGAATTACTCAGATGCCAATCAGGACAGAAAAGGGAAGGGGGACAACAATCCAACAAGTAGCTAGCTGGTTTCTCTAGGAGTGTACAGAGAGCCTTCAGCAGGGCAATGACAAGTGCTGGACACAGCAAGGGTACAAGTGCAAGCTGCACAACCACGGTGTGTTCTTGCCCTTACATCAGATATACACCCAAGTCCCGTTTCCATCACAGCAGTTCCCATCAGCTTCAACTGAAACAGGATCAAGCCCAGGCCCTAGTTCTACGTAACCGCTACCACAAACTATGCTCTGACACCCAACAGATTCAGGTTCTGGTCAGTAAACCACCATTTGAGAGGCTCAGAAAATGGGAACGTTACCGCCTGATTTCCATGCTGGGGGCAAAGAGCACTAATCAGTACTGGCTACTGCTAGTAATAAATTGCTGAATGGAAGGACATGTGAACCATCTGGCAATGGCCAGTCTCATGCCATTCAAAGCTGAAGAATACAATTGTTGGACTGAAGACGGAGCAGCATGGTAAGGCGTTCCCTCATTCTCATCTGGATCCAGCTACCCTCACCAGCTCCTTCCGGTCACAATTCACTCTGCTTTCTGCCAAAATCTAAAACTAAACAACCCGCCTGCATTTACTGTACACAGCTTAACACAGTGTGGCAAAGCAGGACATGACAGCGCCAAGGACAATGAAGGTCTGTTTGTAATTTAGCCCACTGATGTTTCTCATCTCATGTTGGCAAGAAACAAGCCAAAGCTAAAGGAGCAGACAGGGACAGGGGAAAAGCCTGTTGAGAAAGCTGAAGCTAACAAGACAAACTAGCAGCTTCATGACACGGCCAGTCCAAGCGAATGGCACTCAATCAGCCTCACTCAGGCAGCAGCATTCTCCCAGCACAGCACTACCTTCATGCCCATGTCCTCTATGCTTCTGAGTTCATCCAGATGTGTCTGGAGGCATTTCCTGTGGTTCTTTCGACTGAGAGGCTCTTAGATTCCTCCTTGTTCAACTGCAGGAGAAGCTACCTGTCCTTTGGAAGGGAACTGTAGGAGGGCCAAGGAAGACTATCAGCATTCAGATAATGTTGCCCAGATCCACACTGCAAAATGGGAAGGCTACTTCCTTAGTGAAAGCAGAACCCACACTCAAATCTTCCCTACAGGAGGGTTTGACAAGAGAAAAAAAGGCAGGGGTCAGTTCACACAATAGAGGCTAAGGTGGAATAACTGGAAACAATGCACCAACAATTTGGTCACAGTTTCTGGAGACAAATTTGAGCTCACAAATGCATGCTTCTAGCCAGGAAACACAAAGCCACCCAAACCCAGCAATGCTTCCAGTCATTCCGTTAAAGAAACTCACTTTGGGGGAGGTACTTCAAGGCATTTAGGCCCTGACTAAGCTAAGGATATTTCCACTGATGTTTTAAGTGCATCACTATGGCTATTCCAGCACAGAGTCCCTTGGAATAGGCAAGGCCTTATCTTTGATCCAGTGAAAGCATCTCACCCTTTATTCCCATGTCTTGCAGCCTCCTGGTCTAACCACCTGGCTGGACATTCACGTGTGCATTTACAATTCAAAGGAGCTGGCTAAGTAAAGCCTTTCTGCACAGCTGGGTTTGATAGAGCCTATTTATCCACCCCCTCCAACCTCCCTTCTCCTGCTGAATTGGCCATATGCTTTTACACAGGTAGGTTATCTATTTCAGCTGCTCTCTCCTTGTAGCTCTGGGGTTTACTGCCCCCTTCCCTTTTTAAGTGACTATTTTCATTTACATAATGGAGTTAAAATCATCACTTTACCAGGGATTTAGCTCAGACTGTACCTTCTTTTCTAGTCCTGAAAAAGGGCATTATGTGCCTGACAGCTTCTCTAACATCCCTCCCATTTATGGTATACAGTTGGTCAAATGAAACGTATGCGAGAGGCTCTGGACCATCACAGCAACACTGCCACAACACCATTTCACTGAAGATATTTGCTCTCTCTGAACAGTTTCCTTTCAGCGTGCCAGCAAGACATCATGCCCGTCTCTGGCACTGTAATTAAGGCAGGCAGCGTGCTCTGGAGCTTGGGACTGATAGGGAGAATCTCTGATTCTGCTCATAGCTGCATTAGAGACTGGACAAGTCACGCTTCCTCTGTGGCTCACTTGGGATATGAGGCTAATCCTAATCTACGAAGATTAAAGACATTTAGCTCACAGGGGTGTTGTGAGGCTTAACTCATTAACTACAGATAAAGCAGCCTGAGATCTTTAGATGAAAGTGCAAAGCTGGATTGGGTTCAGAGAACAAATGACAAGAAGAGGACTAGATGCCGATTTAAAAAGTTAGTGGAAAGTCTCCCATTGATTGCAATGAGTGTTGCATCTAACGCTTAGAGAACTTCAAAGGAAATAAAACACTAACCATGAAGACCCTAAAAAACAGCAATCAGGTATTTCCAGAACTTTTAGATACCAGGGCTTTCTGTCTTTCTGAGCAGATGGCACTTGACATGGCTTCAAGGTTTCCCTTTCTGTCTATGAAAAATAAACAATGGAGTAATACTGCTTCTTAGTACTTCTTATCCCTAGATCCACAAGTGCATTGAAAAAGTACTCTTCTCTGTGTGTGAATACAATTAATCCAGATGAAAGTGCCCACACGTTATTCTGAAAGAGCTGTGCATATAGACAAGCTCTTTCATACATAATGAGCCTAATCTTGTAAGTGTACCATGCACAAGGTTCCTGTCATTTCCTCTGTCCCTAAATTCAGATGATTGCTATTCAGAAACTGGCAACAGCTCGACACGAATTTGAAGACTGGTGGGTTCAAAATGAAACTTGCATGATTATTAGTGGTCAAGAGGTTACAAAGAACTGTGGAATGCATTTATTTCTTGACTTATAACAGGGCAGCAGCCCTAACAAGCCAGTCTCAATTAGCAGAGATCTTATCTTGGAAGATCTGACACAATAAGGCATTCCTCAGGCACTTTCATGCAATATAAACTGCATGATAAAAATCAATTGAAGGTTTCAGCTTTCTCAGAAGCCTCTGATTTCCTGACCAGTCTCCTTTGTACAGAGACTGCAAAACTGGGGCAGGAAAGTCAAGCAGGCTTTCAGGAAGCGGAATCAAGGAAAAAAGCCCCAGCCAGAGATTTCTAAATTGGTTATAGCTTCAGACAGCAATAGGATGGTCTTCTTTCTTCTGCACAGCTGGTTTACATGGATTGTAAGCATTAAGACACAAATAAAACATTGTACCCTGGATATTGTGCCTTTTACCTCTAGATGAGCAACTCAAATCTCCAGATTGTCTGTACTGATCAAAACCTGTTACCACTTGGCAGCTGCTATTATGATGATTTTCATGACCATAGCTCCTATTAGTTGGCCTGGGAGAAACGATCTTATGTTGTAAAGTCTCTTGCCAGGAGACAGATACCCACATCACACAATTTTCCACCACACTGGATGCTAACCAGGCCCTGGAACTCCTGCCGAGAGCCTCAGCAGCAGACAACAGATTTAGGACCTGGTCCTATTCCAACTGAAGCAAACAACAAAGCTGCCACCGGGGTACAAAGGTGCAGGGTCACACTTCTAAGGGACACAAAGTCTGCGTGTGTCAGGGGCTGTCTATTTAAGTGAGTGTTAACTTCCATCAGCAGAGAGAGACAAGACCTGTCCAGGGATTCATAGTCTACCATGCAGCAATGAGGTTTTGCTTTTATCCATTATTATCATTTCCCCTTGCTACTGAAGAAGGTGGAATACAAGAGAGTTCTTGGTGGGGCAGAGGTGGACATAGGCACTGGGACAGAGAAAAAACCAGAGTCAGCAGGGAATAACAAGCAGTTCCTCAGAGGATCCATCTGCATATAAGCCTGCACTGACTAGTGAAAGTGGCACAAGCTTCCTTGTAGCCTTTAAAAAAAAAATATTATATATATATATATATATATATATATATAGAGAGAGAGAGAGAGAGAGAGAGAGAGAGAGAG